TAGGGCTAGCTGGACTAAGCCTGAAAAATCTAAGACTAGGCTACTATTTTAAATTGTAAAATGATAATTTAGGCTTAAAAGAGCTAGCCCTTTTAAGCCCTAAAATAAAAAGGCCAGCCCTTTTATCATTTTTTAAATTTTAATATCAAAAAAATTAAATACTACACTAATTTTAAAACCATAGCCCCATTTCACGAGGATAAAGAATGAATATACAAAAAGTTTAATATATTTGCCACTGTTAAGGATCCATAAAGAAAAGAATGAAATTATATTGATGTCGATGATAATGAAAATTATTGAGATTTCATTGATGATGGCAGCAAAGTCTGATTGTTATTGGTGTTAATTTTGTAATTTTTTATTAGATTTAAATTTGTTTTTATAGATTTAATGTTATGTGTGATAACTTTTTTGATATTTTAAATATGTTTCTTAGTTTTTTAAATTAAAAAATAAAAATATATAGGGTCGAGGCCCTCTAGCCCTAAGGGCGAGGGTCAGGTTGACCAAAATGAAAACCTAAGATATAATCGAGTTTTATAGGGCCAGCCCGTTTAGACCTTGGCTCTTCAAGAATTGACCCAACCCTAATTGACACCTCTAGAAGGCACTTTGTGAGTTTTCTTGTGATTTCGTATGAAAGTGAAAAAAAGAAGAGAGAAGAAGCATATCATGTGCATGAGAGAAAATCAAATTAAATGGAAATTGTAGAGTTTTTTTTTAAATAAATAAATGTCAATCATTTATTTAAGTATATATGACGGCATATAAGAGAATAACTATACATGATGGGTATTTCATGTGTTTGGAACACCTATCATATATCACATAATTTTTTTTTAATTTGTTAAAAGGTTAGAAATTGAAATGTTATGTGATGGGTGTTAAAACATATGTTATATAACATCATTCTTATAAATAATATATTTTTCAAACACCTGTCATTTATATTTATATTAATTTTTAATTTTAAATCAACTAAGAATCTAAAGCTTTATATATGACAGGTGTTTATATTATAATTAAATAGATGATGGGTGTTTGGAACACCAATCATTAATTATTTAAGCAGCATCCACCGAACAATCATCTTTCTTAGTATCTTATGTTCATAATTTTATAATAGTGCCTGTTTATTTTTTGGGATGATACACAGGGACCAGAATTTAATCTAATTTGTTTTTCAAGATAGGACTGTCCCGTCTTGTCCCTTATCATGAACGCCCCTAATTATACAGAGTTTTTGGACCGGTTCAAATATTGGTTGAACATATTTTGTTTAAGTCGGCTACTACTATAATCCAAATTTGAAAACATTAATGATAAACATAGAAACTTGCGTCTTAAAAGAATGGTTGAGAATTATGCTTACAAGAAGACAAGTTCATTTTTATGCGCATTTTATGGACAAATCTCATTTTCAAGCTGTTATTCCAAAGTTTAAAGAACATTTTTAATTTTCAACTACATATAAATAAATGGGGCAAAACGATCGAGGTGGAGGGCTCTTTCAAAGGTCACAATTTTTGTTACCCAAATTTCACGACCGCGACAAAATAATAAATTCATTAATTATTATTTTGTTGACCTTATCAAGTCATTGCTTATTAAGGTTAATAAAAGAAGAAACAATCCGACAAAGACAAAAAAGAAAACCAATGAAGCATGTCTGGATGCGTGGTTAGCAGAAGTGGAGGATATATTACACCTTACAAAATCATTAAGAGGCTGGCCAAATTAACAATAATGCAACACATATGTCAAAAAGTGGTGGATTTAAATTTCATTGTAAATGTGAAAGACCTTGTTAGCAGAAATTCTATAAACATTCTGAGTTATATGTTTTTGCTCTTAATTATAAGACAAAGTTAATTATTTCCATAATTGTTAAGGAGTAATTGTTGAAACCCTAAAATTGAAGAAAATGTTGCATAAAAATTTAAAGGATAAAAGAGTAAATTTGCCCATAAAGAATAAGTTCATAAGTGTTTGAGACCCTAACTATATTTTTTGTGCAGTATTGCTCTTTAACTTTTAAAAATGGTGTAATATGGTCCTTGACATTAATTGACTAAAAATGATAGTAAAGAATATTATGAATTGTAGAAAAGGACAAAACATTACAGAAAATGACCTAGCAATTTTATCGATCTTTTTCATAATTGTATTGGTTCTTTTTTGATTAATCAATAGTCAAAATTAACTTTGGTTAATGACAAGAGTTGGATTGCACTATTTTTAAAAATTAAAAAAAAATATTGAACAAAAAATTAAATTTAAGATCTCAAACAATCATAACCTATAATTTAGATGTCATTTTTCTCTTTTACTCAAATTTAAAATATGCCAACAACTCATTGCAATTAAAGAATGGTACATTTGAATAAAATTTAACTATTACATTTCTGTCATATATTTAAGAATCAAAAAGCATTTTAAAACTTTTCTCTATTGTCATTATGACCGAACGGAGTATTTAGAATTTCCTTAATTCTGATTGTTATCCCTCCTTCTCCCACACACTTGGACGCTCCTTTGATAGAAATTATTAATCTTACTTGTAAAAAGTTTAAAACTAGATTTTGGCCCTCCATTCAATGTTTTATTTTCCCTTTAGCCCCTCATTCATTAGCCTCTAGATCCGTCCCTAATTGTCACCTACCTAAATTTTATTCAATCCAAAAAAAAAAAATCGATAATACAGAAGTTCAAATTCGTTTGTCAATGTAATACTTTGAAATTGTTTTTAGGCCATGAAATGCCCAACCACAGAAAGGAAAAGGAGGAAACGAGGAGAGAAAAATTCCAAAGGGACCGTTAAACGTGGGGATTGGAAAAGCACTACCTCATGTTGAGGTTCATGTAAGCAAAAGATAAACGACAGAGACATCATAAACCCTATCGGCGATGCTGGGCCCTCTTCGCCTGCAATCCAATCCATGTGAGCTCGAAACGTGTCGAGTTTCAGTTGGTCCCACACAGAGTACATCGCTGTCTTGATAGCGGGTTTAGCGAGAGAACCAATGAGGAATTGAAACGTGTCAGGGTTCAGTAGGAAGCGGACCCACATGATACTTCTATGGGGGGTAGATCTGACATCCTATGGAGAAAAAGACATGAAAGTGGCTTTTCATAAGAAGTGACTGCGAAATGGAATCGCAGACCGAAACGAATGGGCAGTGCTGAAGAAGTTTTGTGTCCAAGCATTTAAAAAAAAAAAAAAAAACTGAGATGATAAGATCTATTGGATCGCCATTTTGACTGTAATGAAATGAAACTCCGCTTCAAAATTCCCGTCCAGGTTCAACGACACGTTGCGTCCTATGCCGAATGTTTTCATCTCTTTTGCATCAACCAGCTTTAGTTGTCTTGGCAGTTGAAAGGTTGGTGTTGAAATTAAAGATTAGGTGACGTAAGTTCGGTGCTTTTAGCATATGAGGATATATACATATGTTCGGATTCAAAGAACACTATAGGAACGTAAGTTGAATACAAATCTAAAAGAAAAGCTTATTTTAAAAAATAAGTATGAGCTATTTACATTTATAATCTTCACTTCACTTATGAAAGCTCATTGATATGAAACTCTTAATAATATTATTATATTTAAGAGCTGATATTTTTTATAGCTCGACTCCACAACATTTCACTCAACCTTTTACTAATCATAAAATTAAAAAGAAAATCTATTTTAAAAAATTAGTTTATTAGATGTGAGAGTCTCTTAAATTTATAAATATCAATTCACATGTGAGGCTGTCATATGTGGAACTCATAATAGAATGCTTAAATATGATCTCCCATTATAAATGTTTACAACTCAACTTTTTAAAGGTTAAAAAAATATCCATACATATGTCAAAATTCAAGAGATTTTGTATAAATTAGGGCTTATCAATTTTTTATTTAATAATTTTCAAATTTTATGATATCTCTATACAAATTCATATGTCATAAATATTCTCTCTCATATACTATATAAATATATATATATATATATATAATTATTATCAGAAGTTAGTTAGAATAGTTATTAAAATAATAAGAGTCATATATTTTTTTTCTATATTATGGTTATTTTAATAACTTAACAAACAAGACAAAATTTCTCAAAATGATTTGTTTTTTTTTTTAAAGTAAGTGACTTTTAAGGAAAAAACTCAAACAAACGAGCCTTTAACCAAGGCTAAATTATATATAACTCGATGAACTTTAAGTTGTGAGAATATAAGTATTCTAATATTTAAAATTTTACAATATGCACCCTAAAAAATTTTAAATTTTTGCAAATAACCCTTTGCCCTGAATTTGTTTATTATTTTACTAAAATAATAACATGACAGAGATTTTATTTTCACATGACTGAAAAGTTTAGGAAGTTATCTACACATAGTTTAAAGTTTGAGAAGGTTATCTGAACCCCAAAAAAAAATTTTAAGGGATATTTTGTCAATAATATATTATGTTCAGTTATTGAAATAAAGGAACAAATTAACCACATGGGGTTGTCATGATCAGCATAAAATTATATGTTTAGGGTTTTCCTGTCAAGTTTTTTAGATTACAAAAACTATCTAGATATAACTCAAAGTTCATGAACCTTTTGTTTGTCCAATTGCAAGAAGACAGAAAAACAAAAGATATTTACGTGCATTTATTTTTTAAAAAAGTTGTTTTGAAGATAAAGACAGCCAAAATCCTGCAGCAAGAATTAATTTCGAACAAGGACAACATGCAGCCCAGTGTGCCACAAATTATTAAGATCCTTAATTGAAATAGCTAGCATCTGTACGAAGCTAAAAAACAAACAAACAAAAAAATAAAGAAAGAAATGTCTTTTAACTTATAAACAATACTGTGTACGTTTTCTTAACACTTTGAAATATAGATTTTATCAAAAAAAAAAAAGAAAATATAGTGACTTCAACTTGGTGGCCCTCAATCCTCCTGTTGACAAGTATGTGACTTGAAATTGCCTCCACAAACCTGAACCACCACTGTGAGGTCCCGTTATCTGATCCTTAATTCTCTCTCAAGTGCCAATCTTTACATATCAATGAGGAAAGCGTTCCTCTCTCTGCCTCCCAAAGTGGACGGGTTCAAGAAAAGAATTATTGAGCAAAACAGAAACTCCAAGGTTACCAATTTTCTCTCACTCATTCATATTAAGTAATTAACCCCATAATTCCTTCCAAGTAACTCTCTCTCCATTCCCTTTAGTACTTTTCTCTCTCCTTTCTTTTTTCCATTTACAAGCGGTGAAATAATACCAGGAATTAACTGTACAAAGTACTAAACCCAAGTCGGTATTTTACAACCTCGGGAAGTTACATCAGTGAAAGAAACTCGGTAATTGAGGAATATTTGTGATGCATTCTGTCTCTTTATTATTATGTGCTTTCTTCTTTTACCTCTTAGTGTAGGTGAAGATAAATAGGGGGCGAGAGAGGGAGGGAGAGAGAGAGAGAGATCTTGCAGATTATCAGTGCAGTAGAGAGAGAGGGGGGGGGATGGGAAGAGGAAGAGTAGTTCTGGAGAGGATAGAGAACAAGATCAACAGGCAAGTGACGTTCTCCAAGAGAAGGAATGGATTGCTGAAGAAAGCGTACGAGCTTTCAGTGTTGTGCGATGCTGAGGTCGCTCTTATTATCTTTTCCAGCCGTGGCAAGCTTTACCAGTACAGCAGTTCTGAGTAAGTCTATATTTCGCTCCCTCCCTCCCTCCCTTTCTCTCTCACTTCTTTTTCTGATATTATTGTTTATGAATTTCTATTCAAATCAATTCAATTCCTTTTCCTTCGTAATTTCCTTTTCATCATCCGCCAAATGCATCATGATGTGTGCTTGGTTTCTGTGGTGAGCTTTTGTGGTTAAATCCTATGATATATATGAATCAATAAGACAACGATTAGTGGGTGGAGCTCCTTTTTAAGTTCTGTTCACTTAGTTTAGTACTGTTCGCGGATTTTTTGCATGTAATCTCCCTGTTTGTTGGATGAAATTGTGTTGTTTGTTTGTTTCTTTATTCTGCAGCTTGGCGATCTTCTTAACAACATATCATCTTGAAATTAATTAACCTTTTTGTGTGGATATTTAATTGGAGGTCATCGTTTTGAATTACTGTTTGTTCTCTCGAGGAGTCTAATTTGATCAGGTCCTACTAGTTTTGTATTACGTAGATCTGAAGCTTGAGAAAAGCAATGGTTTGATTTACTTTTGATTAAAATTACACATACTTTTGTAACTTAATTTTTAGTCATCCTGTGTGATAATTTTAATTTCTAGAACTTGCAATGATAGTTAGTTTACGAAATATTAGTTAGGTTCTAAAACTCGAGAAGTCAAGGTTTTTGGTTATTTCCTATTTCCTTTAATTTTCATTAAATTGCACATAACTCTAATTTCTTTTATCTATATCTTTGATAATTTTTCATTTCCGTAATAATTAAATTTTAAATCTGTGCAATTTTTTACCATTAAATTACTCCATTATTTCATTACTATTACCCCATATAAAGGAGAACTTAATTATTTGCATATGCATTTAAGTTTTATAAGTTATTTACACATGATTTAAGTTTTGGAAATATCTTTATGTCCACCAAAATAAAGAAAACGACATCTGTCAATTGCATATCATTCTACTTGTCAAATGGACTAATTACATGTGTGTGTGTGTGTACGAATTTGAAATTTTTTAAGTTTATTGTCAAAAGTTAAAGGTCAATAGTCAAAAGGCTATTCAAACACATGACAAAGGAAAGAAAAAAATCAGGAATTGTTCAATTTAACTTTTACTTTTTAAACTTTTTATAAATTATTTTATTAATTTTATCAATATTAATATAAAAAATATATAAAATAAAAGTATGTATAATTTTAAATCTGTCTCTATATAATAAATTTAAAAAAAGTGTCATGTTATTTTTTATAAAGAATAATTTTAAAAATATATTTTAAATATTACTTAAAAAGTTACATTATAACTTATAAATAGAACTAAATAAACTTTTTAAAATGTACTTTATAAATAAAATTGAAGGGAGCATTTTTTTAAATATAATTTAGATTTCATTCATTTGATATAACTAGGGTTTTTTACTATCTTATTGCTAATTTTTTTTAGCAAACATTTGTTGGGGGCTTCTAGCTAGCCTTGTCACACCTTGATATTAAGGGTATAATCAGTTAAACTCATGTTTCATAAGCCTTGATTAACCAAAAATTAAACTAAAATGTTGATATATGTAAGTTATATATGACAACAAGGTTTGTAAAGTTTTAAATGTTGTGTAGAAATTTTGACAGTCTACCTTATAATTAGACCTCCCAAAATTTTCACAAAAACAAAACCTATCAACCAAACCAATAAAGTGACTAGCTCCATTCGAACAATTTATATAATAACAAAATAAGACTAGGATTTAATTATGATGCATGTGGAGCACTGACTCAATTTACAAAATCCAATATATAATTTCTCCAAAAAGAATAATCACCATGTGCTTCCTCTTTTCAAAAAGTAATAGGGTCCCTCAATGATTCACAGGAGGTGCAAGGTTAGGTATAATATCCAATATTAAAAAATTTCTAATGAGTAGTGTTCCAATCAAAATTATAAATTTTAAGAAATTATAAAGATAGTAACTAATAAACTTAATTCAAAATGACTTAATGAAATAGTGAAACATATACTTGAGTTAGTAATAAATATAAAGATAGTAACTAATAAACTAGAGTCGGGAATATGGGCCCAGCCCGTCGAGTTGGCCCGTTTAAGCCCATTTAACTAGAGGGTTGAGCTTGCAATTAGGACCCTTTAAATATAATTCAGGCTTAAACGGGCTTGCCCTAATGGGCTTGAAAAATAATTGAGCTGGCCTTAAAGAGTAGAGGGCCGACCCGTTTAAACCTGCATAATTTTTTTTGTATTCAAGCACTTTTTTATTCAAATGATTAACTTTTGATAGACATTTGGACTTGAAAAAAAGTTTAAGCATGATTTATTCATACATGTTAGCTCATATCTGCAAGGAAGAAAAGACATAAAAAAAATAACCCTAAATTTCCTAACTTAACTCTCTAAACTACATTTCACCGATTTTGCCCCCTACAATTCATCTCTTGTTCATGTGAGTTGTTCTTGTCTCTTATCATTCCTTTTTATTGATAGCATCTCCTAAATCTTAATAGTACTCTTCTATCTACCACCATGCTTCATTGTGCTCCTCCGTCTGTGATAGTGCTTCACCAAGCTCAAAGACTTAAATGATAGCATCTCTCAAGTCCTCCTCTTGCTCGAATAGAACTATAGTTTGATTTTCTTTTTCTTGTTCTTTCCTTGTTCTCAATTTTGCTCTTAGTCAGACTTGTGTTTATGGTTTATCTCATTTGATCATTTTGATGCTATCATTTTGTTTATGTTTATGGTTTATTTAGTTGTTTTATTTTGATTGCTATCATTTCATTTATTGATATGATTGTACTCTTGATTTATATACTAGAATGAGATTTTTGAAATAGGTAATGAAATGGAGTATTACTACTTAATTTAATAAAAAATAAAAAGAGATAATAGGGCTTGAAGGTCGCAGGGCCGGCCTTGAGCCCGCTATCTCAAGGGCTAAGCCCTACAATTTGGTACCTCAAATGAAAAAGGGGCTTTTTAAGCCTGGCCCTTTTAGGCTCAAATTGGTCGAGGGCTGGCCCTTTAGGGATGGGTTGGCCTATTTTTTCATTTCTAGAAATAACCAATCAAGCGTAAACACATAGTCCATGAGGTAAATAACTAAAAAGTACAGCTTAAAGCCATAAAATAATCAAACGTGACTAGAAGCCATGAAACAAGTATGGCATAGGCGATGAAACAAGAGTGAGTATGATGCTCATGAATATCCAATCCTCCATCACCCGTGTGTTGGCCTACACACGGGGTTAGCACCTCCTATAAACACCTTGCTAGTTAGGTGTATCATGGCATGTCAAGGGCTAATAGAACTGCTGTTAGCATCCAGCGTTATAAATTCAACCCTCCTTAGTAAAATCAAGCACGAATGGAGCAAGAAAATAGATTTCACATTCCACTTTCAAGCTATTAATTTCCATTTACTATATATCCACTTCTGTCATTATTATTTAGCAATCTAATCATTAGTAAAATTAAGATATCATTATAAATAATAAAAAAATTATTATAGAAATAGGATGAACAAAGATATTTTTACATTTTAAAAATATTATTAAATTTAAGTATAAGAATTTTATAAGTATTTTGCTAAAATTTATTTAAAATGCTACCCATTCATCTGAGTTTTCAATAATCATATGTTCGGGCTCCTTCAATTTCTTGATTACTCCAATGATGCCACAAATCAATTTAATACATAACCCAACAACCCTCATATCATTATGAATTTTTTTTCTATAATAATCAATCTAAATTAATATTTAAGCTCTTTGATAACTCTTTAAATTTATCATTAACCCCTTAAACTCTCATTGAACCCACCAATAACTTTTATCAAGTAATTCAACAACACTTGGCAGCATTCCATGTCAACCATCAACATATATAAACTAACTCTAGACTTAATAAAAATCTTAATTATTATATAGTCTAATATTTTTTTTAGGTGCTACACGATTTCAATAAATAGTTTAACTTTACAACTTGTGTGAAAAAAAACATATATTCCCTTAAGTAATATTTATAATTTTTCTAGGCTCTATTATAAAATTTAACAATCTTATTTCTAACTATTATTCTTTCAAGTATATTTATAATTACTATGAAAACATGCACCATCAACTAAATCATGAGGCAAGTATCCATGCAAAACCAACAATTTCCATCTTCTAATTTCTTTGCCAAATTTTAGCTTAGCATATAATAAAATAGTATCTAATTGAAACAACACCTAAATATTTCTACAACTTTAAGACAACAATATGGAGAAATAGAGCACACTTTTGGCCAATGAAGGGAGAAGGGTAATGTTGGATAGGGAGGTACAGTAAAAGATTAAAATTTTAAAGTCCCTATCTTAATATGGACCAAACAAACTCGTTTAAGTCAAGATAGATAGAAGAGTTACCTTTTAATTCTTCAAACTTGACGCACGTTCTCTTCAAGATTTTGGATCTTAGGAGCTGATAATATAGATATGCTCTCTCTACCGGTATCCACACAAGTAGCTTTCTAACTTGAATAGAGTGCTAGTGCTCCTAGCGTCTGTTCTTCTTTGAACGTTAGTTTTCCTTTCTATAAGGTGTTTCGTCACTCTCAAAGTATTTTTGGCATCAGAACTTTTCTAACTTTCTCCTTCTTCATAAAGGATATCCCTATCTATATATAGTATATGGATCATGGTTTTTATCTTTCACTTAAAAGCCCACAAAAATATAATTAAATTTATCTCATAAATTTAATCCATGATATCATATCTAATTTGAAATAAATTTAAATTATAAAACTGACATGATATTCTCTCATATCATGTTAGTTAGAAAATTTAATCTATCATATAAAATTAAATTTAAAATTAACATAACATAATATACTATAATATAATATATATCACACGTACATATTATATTATTATATATATGTATTTCAAGATATATATATATATATATATATATATATCAGATACACACACACACACATAAATATATATATTTCAAAAAATATATATATAATTATATTTTAAATTTTACATTTCATGTATATATATATATATATTTATCAAATAAAAATTCAAATATATATATATATATAATTCATTCACCCTATATTACATTCATTGAATCTAGATATATTTCAGATTCAATGAATTTGAATATTATAACTTGAGTTGAGCTGTTCTTATGTGTGACCCTATAGGCTCATATGAAATTGGCAATAGGCTAATTACGTTATTAGCCCACAAGTCACAAGTGGCTTCTAGCAAAACATTGCAACTACCCAATTTACATGAAGATTGATGATCTGATGTAACCTAATATACAATCGTACCATATTACTTTTGTCACGCAATATTTCAGTCAAGTATGAGACATGAAATTGTCATTCTCTTTTACCTGACTGTTACTCTCTCGATCTTTGAATGGACTAACTATAGCAATGGAAAAATCCTTTTCGTTGTAGTATGGCCATACATTTTCTCAGTCTTACTCATCGAGGGGCTCGGTGATATCTCTCACTTAATGTGAGGGACAAATTTCATCTTGACCACTCATATTCTTTCACTAAACTCAATCATAGCCTTTATGATCACCCGGTCAAAAGTGATTTTTAACTAAGTCAAAGTTCAGTAGTCATCATGTAAGAATCTATAATGATCTCAGGTCAAAGGGCTTAGTGATATAGTTACATATGAGATAAGCTTATAACTTGTATAATGCAGCTTTCTCATAGTGGGTCGGTCTAGCATCTTGTATTCTTTTAAGTGCCTATGACTTTGATTTATATCTCTATAATTAATCAAAGTCATATTAGTCTTGTTTCATCTATGATCCCTCATAAATGACTGACTAGGGACATCTAGGACAACAACTATAGTTTGTTCAAGAATACAGTTATCATATTGAACATACAATAGATATGATAATAAAAAAGAAATTCATTAAATAAAAATATGCATAGTACAATGATTGGCCCTAGGGCACAATTTCCAACAGATAAGTCGCACAAGATACTAAAGCCCATACTCATGGAAGAAAGAAAAACCAATATCTTACCTCAACCAATGCACAGTAGCAATTGCCACACATACATGCAGCTCACGGGCAGCAAAAAAAAGGGGAAAAGAGCTTCAACCTAACTACCTAAGAGGAGGAGATGAAGTAGAATTAATAGACTGGAAAAAAAGAAGAAAAATATTAAGCTTTCATCACACATGGATGTTCAGTAGGTGAAGATGAAGGAAAATGAAATCTAGTTTCCCGCTCACCACCGATAGCCTTGTGACAAAGAAGAATGATAGAAAACTGCAACCTCCTCCCTCCATCGTGATAGATGAATGAAGACAGAGAAGAGGAAGAAGGTTGCAGCAAAGACAACAAACTGATGGCAAGGAAAGAAGTGGAGTACTACTCACCTCTCGTTGACACATAACAGTATGATGACAGGGAAAGAGAATTAACAACCCAACTTCACTATGGCTGGCAAACATGAACAAGAAAGATGACAACAAACAAAGCAACAGCAGCCAAAAAAACACCCATTCAACAATGAGCTAAGGAAGTTGATAAGAGTCAAAGAGATGAATCTACTATAAAGGTCTAGAGAAGTGTATGATGGCGGTGAAGAAAAGAAAAGGGATGCTCTATTTTATCTTTTCACATGAAAGAGATTAAATATGATCAAAACAAGCATTGGAAAAATTACAAGATAGAACATGAGAAAATTACAAGAAAAGGCACAAAAAATTTACCAAGAAGAGCACAAAAGTTTCCTATAATTTAAAACTAAACTTTTGCTTAAAATAATTGGACTCTGGATCCTCAAGGTAGTTTCTAGCATAAATTTCTATAAAACTACCTCTTCCTACTTGCTATAAAATTTATTTAAATAAAATATTTATTGAAAAAAAAATTATTTAATTTAAAATTTAGGATTACTATTAGTATCTTTTCATCCCAATAACTAATTAATTCCAACAATCTTCAGGAAAATGGAAGGTATACGTACAAAGATAATAAATGAGTGGTCAGGAATTGGCGATTTGTTTGAAGAATATAATTAAGTATGTTAGCATGGAGATTTGAGGGATTCTGACTTCATATTTTGTAGCTGTACCTTTTTATTTATTTATTTTTTTTTAATTTTTGGTGTTTAGCTTTTGTGGCCATACTTTCAGATCTTTATTATATTTTAGTTTTCATGTAATTTCTTTGCGCGTGCGTGCGAGATTGGTCTGCCTTCTTCTGTTTATTTCGATTTTTCTGGTTGGCGATCTAGTAATACAGATCCTTATAATACATTTGTTATCATTAGTCAGTTCATTATCTCATTAATATATCACAGTTTGTCAGATGATTTATTTGTACATGACCTAAGGAATTAGTGTTTATTGTTTGAAGAATTGATTTGGTGCATTAGGGATTTGGATTTAGGAAGAGGTGGATTCAGCAAGAGTTGGTGAGATCAATCTATGCAATTGAGTTTCAACTACATAATAAGCTTGTCAAAATTAGAATTACAAATGATTTTAATTACATAATTATATAGTGATATAGAATTACAAATGGTTTAAAAATTAGAGAGAAATATCCGTAAATTTCATTGAAGGATTTCATGAATGTTATACAAAATAATTCAAAAAAAAAATAGATTAAATATAAGTTGCAAATTGAAAGTTGAGATGGACTCTCATCACCTCTTACTGAATCAGCCTTCTACTAAATCCAAGTTGCAAATTGATAGTAGTAGTAGTTGTTGTTGTTTTGAGAGGTTTGATGTTAAAAAATATAAAGTATTTATAGTTTTTTAAGATGTAATTATTATATTTTTTTTAAAAGTATCCTTATTAAATAAATACTTTATATTTATTGTAGGGTGAAAAAATCTATTAAATAGGGATAAATATAAAAAAATAAAATTAATTTGAAGACAAGTAATTACTTTATTTAAAATTAAATTGAGTTAAAAATGTCTTATTATTTTGAATAGAGGGAGCACAGCTTCACCTGCCTCCAAATTCGTGTGAGTTAGGTAACAAGCTGTTACAATTGGGATGGAAGTGGCATAAGTTGCAATTATCTCCTCACATTACATATTAAGAAAATTAGTTAAAGCTAGTTTTTCTTGCTAAATGTGATCCAAATTGATTTTTTCTTCTAAGTTTGACCTTGATAAGTAATGTCTTTGCATCTCGATTCCCAAAATAAGCATTTAAAAAAAAATTTATGTAATTTGATATTGTCCAAATTGTACTGAATATCGTGCGTGCGTGCGTACGTTTCCATCCAAATATGATTTTGTTTCGTTGTTTTGTTGAAATGAAAAATCTATATATGTTAACGACAATACTGTAGATCCAACTTTATGAGCTGCCTTAATTTTGCATAATGTGTATTAATTATATAGTTTGATAAAAAGGTAAAAACTTATATGTTTAGTCTTGTATACATAAGATATCTGTTTTTAATTAAATTAAGACATATGTAGTTGCTATTGGTTATTTATCCTATAATAAATTTTTATTATTAACATTATTAATATATAAATTGAAATTCATATGTTTTGATTTAATTGGATAAAAATATATTAAGCATATAAGGTTAAATTCATAATACGTCTTGCCCTTTGATAAATATGTGGATCAACGTCTTGCTTAGATCATCATCTTCTTATTTTCACTGGAATTAATATAATATTTATAATTAATGTACTGCTTATGAGTTATGTATATAATAAAACTATACTGTAATTTAAGCATTATTTATGGAATTGTTGATTGCAATGCAGCCTAAACGGAACCATAGAGCGGTATCGTCAATGTTTTTACATTTCACAACATCACGACCATCTCGAACATGAATCTCAGGTTAATTTTCCATTTTAATTTTTTCATTTTTCTGATGACATAAACGAATTAATTAAGGGATTTAAATCCTCTGTAGTTGGAATTGATGAATTTCTGTGAAGTTTTCTTTTTTTTTTTATAGTATTTTTACTTATTTTATTTTATTTTATAAAATATAAAATCTTCTCTCCCTTTCGTAGAAAAGAAAATTTCATAGAAATTCAACAATCCGAACTTTAGAAGTCCTTAATTAAGAGAACAAAGCAATTTATTCTCATCATTATTTTTAATCAGCAATAATATACTGTGAATTTTCGCAGAACTTGTACCAGGAGCTTTTGAGATTAAAAGTCAAGCATGAATCTCTTGAGAGGACACAAAGGTGGGAATATTGACCAAAAAAAGTGCTTAATTATTAAGATTAAAGTGATCGACATGCTAATTTTGGTTTGGTTTATAAGGCATTTGCTTGGAGAAGATCTTGAGCCACTAAACATGAAGGAATTGCATAGTCTTGAGAAACAACTCGACAGAACGCTAACACAAGCACGACAGCGCAAGGTATGATCACTTAAATTCGTTACCAATTTGAGCATTTGTAAATATTGTTGAGCATAGTAATCTCAAGCGCAAAATTGTCATCTTAAACTATGTCGGCTAGCTCGAAGGGATTCTTTTTCCATTCATAAATCAAATTTAAAATCTCATCTGAGGAGTGTCCAGTTTCTTACTATTCAATCTAACTGTAGACACACGTGATACTACTAGTGATTGGATACACGTTGAAGAGATGTTGTACGTATTCCAAATTTGAGTTTTGTAAGAAACAATAAATTGTTGCTCATGGACAGATGTCCCTTTAGCACCAACAAATATTAGTATAATTGATAAGGATTTAATTGACACATACCTCACAAAGTTATGAGATCAAATTTTACTATCAATATGAAGGCTTTATTAATAAATAATTTATAAATATCTCTGCAAATGCTTATTAGGCTAGAAGATATGCCTTTGATTTTAGTGAGCTCTCAAGATACAACTTACTTAAATTTTTTTGTTAAAAAAAAAAAAGAAATGTCCTACTAATAATGAGAGATGATGAGGAGAATGAAGTTAAGATTTTTTATAAAAACTTTTGTACGTCCTTCAGTCATATATATATAAGTCACATTTTAGAAAAAAAAAATTAATTATGGTTACTCTTATAAGTCATTTTGCATAAAAAGGTGGATCATAAATTAATTACTTTCTTCTAATTTTACCCTTTCATAATTTTTGATGAGTAGAGAATCAAAAGTTACATGGGAGAGAAAATGTTTTCAAAGATAATGCATTTAAGTGAAGGTAAATTGGGAAGCTAAGTTTCTTTTGTTAGACAATATCAATAATTTAACTATCTCTCATTAAACATATTGTTGTATGATATATATCAGCTCAGTCCACAGCATTTTCAAGTTTTTATATCCTCATGCTTTTAGAGTCAATCCATTTTGGCATGTTAACCATTTCTCCAAACGAACTCTCCATTGTGTTGTACTTGGTTTCATGAGCTTTTAAGGTGAACAGAGAGTTGGAGATGTGAACAAATCATCAATGTGGTTGCTTAGGAGTGTATTAGCATATATACAAGTGTAGGAACTTCATCACAGCACGTGTTTTGTTTCTTGTAAATGTTATTCTGTTTAACCGTGTGTTTTGGATTCACTCAAAAATCATTTTGGTAAACCAGCATTTGCCAAAAGCTATATATTTGGGTGCATTTTTTTTATATCATTTCCGTTTAACTTCAAAAAGTCCTTTTGCTAATAAAAGTTAATCTGAGTTATTTTTATTTCTTTTTAAATTCAGAAAGTCCATTTTCTAATAAAATTTAATGAGTTATTTTTTAAAAAAGTAATTACTTTTAGCTATTGAATAATTTTCAATTACTTTCCAATAATAATGTTCCAGGCTACTTTTCAAAAAACTTTTTATTTATTATATTCAATCATACATTTCGTTATATTAGTTAACTTCCAAGAACAAATTGAAAACCAAATATATACTTAATTAGTTAGTTTAGTTGTAACTAGTAGAACTTCTTAATATATAGATCTACTATATGTATTTGTTAAATATGATCTGATTATAATTTATTTGTGATTTCCATTTATTGTAATTTTCAATTCTATTTAAGTTGACGGATAACCTTTATTATCATTATTGTAGATTGATTTGATATTTATTAGGATATCTCAGTTTGTTCTATATAAACCCTCAAATGGTGACTGAATAAACATGGCATAAATTACCCTCTTTTTTGCGTTGTTGTGGCTTTCTCAATTATTCTTTCTCAAGTTTGTCTATGCTATAGCTTTATTTTGTACAGCAAAGTACTAGCCTCCCATTTCAATATTTTCCTCTTAGTTTTGATTCTTTTCTTGTTTGTTTTGATGTTTTAAGTTAAGATTTTACTTAGTGATTCATTCATGTGAGAATCCCTCTTAGTTTTTTCTTTTGTCTAATTATTTATTTCTCAAAGAATCATTCTCAAATCATTTTCTATTTATGGTGATTCATTTTTTCAACAATCATTGTGGAGTTTTTCACTAACAGATTTATTTCTTTGAGAATTTCTCTCGAATTTTATGCCTGGAGAGTTGTTTATCTAAGAATCACTACCAAGTTTTTACCCCAAGTTTTTGTCTTGTAATTCATTTCTCTAAGAATCATCGAGTGATTCATATATCTAAAAATTGCTTTTGACTTTTCACCCTTGAGTTTTTTGTCTAGCAATTCATTTATATGAGAATCACTTTTTGAGTTTTCTTGCCACTAGAACAGATAAGCAAATTTACACAAATTAAAATAGCTTATCTATATCGGTGACTGGTGTAGCTATTGGATAATCTACAAAGGTTATAAACTCAGTGTAGATAACTTAAATTATGTATATTAATTTTTTTAAAAAATATAATATCTACATTGGTTTTGCGTCTAACCCGTGTAAATGTCTATGTAATCTACACTGGTTATTGGAAGAACTAGTGTAGATGATATGATATCTACACTGGTTTTTCGCAGATTCATAAGTTTTATTTAGTAGGTTTTTTGTTTAGGTTATTGATCTTGATAATCACTCCCAAGCTTTCTGCTAAATGTTTAACCTTCAAAAATCATTTCAATGCTTTTTTTTAGTAATGATTTATGATTTATGCATATGGGAATCACCCCCGAGTTTATATTTAATTTTCTCTCTTTGAAACCTCTTTCTGTCATACAAAGGGTTGATGTTTGCTCTTACTATTGTTGTTGCCACTACCAATTGATTTATTCTTAATACCAAGCAATACAAATTGTTATAAACCTAAGGGAATCTTGAGTTTGAGGGAGGGCATTAAATGTGATCTGATTATAATTGATTTATGATTTTTATTTATTGTAATCATTGTAGATTGAGTTGATATTTATTAGGGTGTCTCATTTTATTCAATACAAGCCCCCATATGGTGATTGAATGAACATGGCACAATTTACCCTCTTTCTCTCTTTGTTGTGCCTTTCTGAATATTCTTTATTCAACTATGCTTATTTCTTTTAGTATTAATAAGCTTTGTTAATATAGAATGTATTCTCCCTCTCATGATCCATTGTCTTCTTCCTCTTGTCTCTTTTCTTATTTAATGAGCTTGAAATATGATGTTTATGATCTCTTTTACCAATATATTGCTAAAATTTGATTGCAGACCCAGAAGATGATGGAAAGAGTCGATGAGTTACGCAAAAAGGTAATGATTCAGAACCTATGTTGATGTAAAACAAGGAGGGGGAAAGGAGAAGAGTACTGGGAGAGAGAAAGGAGAAGGAGAAACTGGGAAAATAGAAATTCTTTATTCTATAATGAAAGTCTAAATACAATTGAAAACCCTAGAGTTATTTATAAAGCTGTATAAATAATACAATAATAATTCAAATTTAATTCGAGTTCAAATCCAATCTATCTAAATCAAGAGATGACAATAATACCTTAATATCTTGTTAATTTAGATATCTTATTTTATTTGATATAATACCTTAACATAAAAATAAAATCCTAAATACTAAACCCTAGAAAATCAAATCATATCTATTTTTCATCATTTCTCCCTAGGTGAAAGAACTCTCCATCAGAGAGGTAGACAGTTAGTAGTCATTGCACAAAGTGGAGTTCATGTGGTAGAACTCTTTTTTAAGGATCCATATAGCTTCTAAGTTAGAATGACCTTTCCAATTTAAATGAGGTAATAGTGGATGACAATTGCTAGAGCTCTAATTGGTCACTTGCAACACACTAATTTTTTTTAAATAGTTTAACTCAACCATAGTTGGGTTACAGTCACCCAACACATTTTATATCAATAAATTTAATATAAAAATATTTTATAATTGGCTTCAACTCGCACAATATAACATTTCAGATAAATTTTTACCTCCCACATGCCATTAGGCTAAATCACATTTGTCCATCCTTATACTCCCAACAAGTAAACTAAATCACATTTGTCCATCTTTATACTCCCAACAAGTAAAATAAATAATTTCGTCAATTTTCAAAACAAGCCAGTTATTTGACCTCACAATCATGCCATTTTAACTAATCCAAAGTAAACCAAATATTAAAATTACAGTCATCCAAAGTGTACCAAAAATAGAGATATTTTGAAAGGCATGATTACATTTTTATATTCATATAATTGTCAATAAACAAAAAGCCCTAATATTGGCAATATAACACATTATAAATCATAAATCAAATACCCAAAAGAGACAATAGATCTATGCCACTAAGTCTTTGGGACTCCTCCACGTGTCACTCGTGGCTCTTCTCCTGAAAATTGTTAACCACATAATGAGACTCAAAAGTCCCAGTAAGCAAAGCCAATTTATGATATTGTATACAAACAGTTAAGTGTATGCTTACTAAGTGAGAATTAAAAATAATATAATTCCAATAAATATAAGAAATATTACAATACACACAAATGACCATCCTTATATCCCTCCATTAACCTCAAGCTGTAGCCCTCACTCGGTGCTAAATTACTCGGCCAAAGGTAGATTAGCCCGAGCCCTTACAAGCCACCTATTGAGCTCCAATAAGGGCATACCACGTGACACATAAATACAACAATAATAGCAAGTCTCCCAACACCTCCCACAATAATCAAACAAATTCATAATAATATTTCTCAATTATACAATATTACAAAATTCATAATATTCTCAATAATCACCCAATTAACATGAAGTAACACTAATCACAAATTAAAAGTATGGTTACTTCGTGGCTTTTTCAATAAATTATTCCTTACAAATTTCTCTCCCACCACAATCTTCACCAATAATATAATCTACAAATAACATATTATTTATAAATATTAGTTTTAATTTTTGAAACTAATAAAATAATTCTAATAATAGAATTAAAAATATAATATAATTCCTAATCTCAATCTTAATACAAATCTAAAGTTAATACTATTAAGTAAAATTTTTAACTCCTCTTTTACTCATCAATAAATATTAATAATCTAAAAATCAACTTCTAAACTAATTTCTATTATCAAAATTTTCTTTTTTATTTCATAAATTCACACCTAAAATATTCAAAAATTAAAAATTGAATCTCTGGCTTAGAATCATAATCCTATAGTCATAATAATTCATTTCTCATCCCAAATAATCATCTAAACCTCAATAATTCAACATATATTTTCATATTTAATAAAAAATCTAGTCTAGGATTTGATCCTTAAGCCACAAATTCAAAGATCATCAACAAATTTATACTCTAGAATATTTATTATACTACTAACAACCTCAAAAACCATATTTATTCAACATAAATTCATCCCTCCTTCAAATCCTAAATTTTCTATCACCATAAACTCAGAAACCAAAGAGGAAGGATGGCTAAGAATAAATTTTAGATCACTTACTTAGTCTTGAAAAGCTTGAAATCACACCCTAAACATCTTATTAAAAACTCTTACCTTAAAAATTCAGATCTTCCGCACCGACGACTCATGCTCACAGACGCTCTCTCTGATCGCACACGAAAGAGGAAGGAAATGAAGGAAAATGAGAAGAAAATGGTGGCTTTTTAAAAATGAATGTGGGTCCCACAACTTTTTTTTATTATTTCCCCTTCTTTCCTCTCTCTTCTTTCCTTTTTTTATTATTATTATATAAATATAATGATTACACGCGCACGCCGAAAGTTTTCTTGTTCTTCTCTTCTTTTTTTTTCCATACCTTTTCTCTTTTTTTTATAATAATAATAATAATAATTTAATAATATTTTTTTAATTAATTAATTTTTTATTTTAATTTAGAATTATATCCTAAATTAGATTTAATAATCATTTTCTACTAATTTGCTCACTTCTAAATATTTTTCAAAATTTTTATTAACCCAAATTAACTATTAAAATTTAAATTAGGATGTTACATCACTCATCCATGGCAACATCAATGGCCTTGATTGGTGGTGGGTTTGGCAATGGTGGAACTAGAGCATGGTGTGTCTAACTACCTACAAAATCATCAAAAAAAAAAAAAACAAAGGGGTGGCTTAAAAGTACTTTGATAAGAAATAAGATTCTCAATATTGAATACTGAACTGATAGACATATTTGGAGGTAAATCTCATAAGTAAGTGTTAAGCTCCAGATTCTTAGCAATATGAAAAGGACCATAAGGATGAGCATGCAACCTCTTGAGAAAATTCTTTGGGAAGCATTCTTGCAAGCCATAACATAATCTCTAATATAAAATCTTAAAAATGGTAGTGCGTGTTGACAACTAACTTACATGCATGTATTATTACTCAATACTAACTTGTGCATAATTTTAGCATGAAGTTCATGAAAGTGATGGGAAAAGGTTTTGATAGTTTTAGAAGTAAGAGCTTTCAAAGAAAGGGATAAAAGACAAGGAGGCTATTTACCATAAAAACTTGAAGTACTAATTAGTTTAGTTGCTTAACCCTCAACATTAATTCTAGAACTAACCTAAATGTAGTATTTAGGCCAACCCTAAATCTTCTCACAAGGAGGTGATTTAAACTTCCTAGGATAGTTAATTGAGTGATAGATTAACTAATTCAAAGAAGTTATTACCTAATTATCTAAGGAATTAAAATTGCAAACTAACCTACAGTGTGATTGGTGAACTTCCTTATTAAAGTAAGAATGTTATGGCATTGTTGATGTAAGAATCCTAGATTCTAAATAATAATAGCAACCCACTCAACTTTTTTCCCTTGGCTAAAAAGGTGATCACTCTAGACAACTATTCTAAGTAATCTAGCCTCACCAATGCAATTCCTTAAATGCTAATTACAAGTCTCTGAATTAATCTCACTAGCTTAGCTTAAGGATTAACCAAGTGTTTAATTAAATCTTCTTTTCTTGTACCATGGTGAAAGCTGTACCTAAGCATAAAACCATGCATCTTGAGCATTTCATCAAACATTTACCAAACAATTACATGCTAAGTTAATGCAAGACATTCACCATTAAAAAATCACATACTATAATGCAATATCCATAATGGCTGAAATTACCATTAGCAAAGGAAGAAGAAATTCAAGACAACAAACTTGCTTTAATACAAACATTTACTACCAACCATGAAACTAAAGTTAAATTGAACTACAATTAACTATAGTCATAATACTCTATTGAAATTGAAACAAGATGAGGAATAAGTTGAGTTTAGCCAAACGTTGTCTTCAATGCTCCTCTTCCATCAACTCTTCCCTAGGATTCCATGGAGAATTTATCTAGAAAACATCAAAAACATCTTGCTCCTCCAAGAACTCAACCTAGTTGTTTGGTGCTTCATACAACTTGATGAATTAAAACTTTAAATCTCCTTGCAAGTGAATATGATGGGTTCAACTAATGGAGAGGAATGAAATGGTGGTGATTTTATAGAGGTTTGATGGCTGAAAATAAAGATAGAGGTGCTGGAAAATTAGGGTTTCTAGAGAGAATGTGAAAAAAATGAAGAACAAGATGAACTAGAAAAAGAATGGAAGAGATGGATGAGAGAGAGAGAGTGTGTGTGTGTGTGTGCGTGTCTAACTGAGTGTTTGAATCTGAAAATATGATAAAAGGATGAGGAGGACATGTTTTGAATTAGACTTGGCTCCAAAAATTAATTCAAAAATAAATTAAAATTAAAGAGAAAGTTTCACACTTTATTTGCATGCTCTTAGATGGTACCTTCTCATTGGTTGGGTGATAATTCCTACGCGCATATAAATATTCTTATGCTTTGCACTTAGAAAATCTGATCTACCCTATCCTTTAGCCATTTAGCATTTCACTCTTGCCCAACATGCCTTTCTTGCACTTCCTTGGCCAATTGATATAAGTCCAAGTACATATGTGTCATCTATATCACATAATGAACAAAATTAATCAAATAAATTTATGTGACATAATAATTCATATTTATGAACATGAAATTAATTATTTAGATGAGAGATAAATAATAAAATGCAATCCAAAGGCTGCCCAATGTGAAACCATGCATGCACACACATGCACAAAACCCTAATTTGGTCAACTAAATCAACAATCCTAGTTTTGTGATTTTGAATTAATATCTCCCAAACCACATTGAATTTTCAAAATCTAATTTCAAATTCATTCTCGTGGTATCAAAAAAATTTAGAATATTTTTTTTTGTACATTTTCTCAAAGTCCAATTTTAGGACCAAGGTACCCCTAGTGCATAACTTTGCCTTTTATGCGATTTTATCATAATTAGGACTACAAATGCACCAAAGTGGGGAATATAACATGTAAAATAGGTTCTAAATAGTTGGATAAAGTGTATAAATAATGTATCTTATCAAGTACTATCATAAGAGTTCTTACAAGTGGGTTGATTAATTATCGGGCTCAACTATCTGTAATGTAGGAGGCTAAGGTTATGGGTCTTAGCTACCTGATTTATAGGTCTTAGCTCTCAATGTTTGTCTTGCCTAAGGTCATTAACAAACAACTTGATTGTTATCCAAAGTGGTTTGGATAAATTGTTCCAAAAAAAGAGATGATTAGATCATGACACACATTCAAATTTTGTAGAAGTTTTTATGAGGTTATTGATTGTATAGGTTGCTCTTGTGGCTAGTTGGCACATACTTCTTTAGCTTTAGCTTCATCTTATTCCAAGTGTTTATAGGTGGTTGGCCTAAGATCTCCAGGTGTTCTTGGACATTCTCTAATATTTCCTAGCAAATCTTGTAAGCTTCATTTTGGTGAAGTGAGCACACTACATGTTGTTTTTATTGTATCGTTCAAAGTAATCACCCATGTTTGCTAGGCAATCTAAGAAATCGCACAGATTAAGTAGTCTACCATTTTAATCGGGTGTTTCTTTGCCTTAACCCTTCTCATGGCACTCATCCCTATCTTGTTTGTGCTAAGGGACCTCTGCTTTCTTAAATGGTCAAACTCATGGTTAGGCAACTAAGACCTATAGAGGATTAGTAAGTCCTCATATATTAGGGTCTAGTATAGTCATTCCTAGTATGTTTCAAAGTCCTATCATTAAGGTTTCCTAATAGTCCTTCATTTTTCCCTACCGTTTGCCTAATTAGCTTTTAAAATGATTCTAGTGTTGGAGATCAGAGTCTTGCTTGATAGTTGTAAGAGTCTAGTCAATGCCATCAAACCTCTTAGTGAAGTGTGTGATGGTCTTGGTAAAGTCCTCAATGGAAGTTTGATAGGTGTGGTTATTTTGGTCCATTTGAGATTTGAGAAAGTCAAGCCAAGGTTTAAAAGAGTTAAGCTCTTAACAAAGGAAGGCTTTTTCTAATGTAAGGTCCTGGGGGATCACTTATTAAATAAGTAACAACATAAGTGAAGTCTTCACCGAGACTTCAGAAGATTTAAAAACTCTTCAAAAAAAAACTATTACAAACTTTGGTTAACTTATGCTTGGTTTTAGGACCAAATGTTTGTGAGGAATGCATGTGATTATAGAATGTTGAGTAGGCACAAATCAATAACGAATAATGGTAAATATAAAAGAAATATACTAGGAGACTAAAGAAATGAAAAAGAATTGCACTATATACTTCCCCAATCCTAGTTTATATAAGACAATTTTGGATGTGGTTCAATATCTCAAAATAGATGACAGTTTGATAAAAATAAGATTTTTGTGAAATATATTTTTCTAATATCACTCTTCTCCCTTTATTATGTTACGTCTCTCTCTCCCCCCTCTCTTTGTTTAACGTTATTAAATGAAGGATATTTTTAAAAATTTATATTTTTATTTAAAAAAAGATTATAAATTATATTTAATAAGTTTTATTAGTATTTGTAATTTTGTTTAAAATTTTCTTATAAAATAGGGTAGAGGGAGAATTTTTTTCTTCTGTTTTTTTTATTTTCTTCTCTTTTTTCTTTTTAATCGCTAAATTGAGACAATTGGAAAATAACTAAATATAAAAAAAAATCCTCTGGATATGGATAACAGTATTAAACCGCATATAATGTAATAGAATAAACCTCTAAGGTGCCAATAATTCAAAGTAAATAAAAGGTAAATTGGGCCTTGGCACATGATTTAAGGAAGTTGGTGGAAAAATAAAAATTTACCCCAATGATTTAATGAGATAATTTGCAACTTCAAGAAGGTCTGAGGTGGACGTGGCAGTACAAAACAGAGAGAATAAAACAATGAAAAAAGTAATCTAGAACGATCAGAACGCCCAGGCGCGTGTGGCGAAGCACGTGCATGGTTCTCATGTAAGCGCGGAATGGAGCTTCTAGCGTGTGTAGCGCGAGCACAATTGTTGGCACGCGTTGATTTTTTTTTTTTTTTTAAATAGATCTCAATGGGAAAGCAATAGAGGGAAGGGAAATGGCCCAAATGAAAATGTAACTTTGATACCAATGGATATAAAATAGAGAAGGGGAACAGAGGAAGAGTAAGAAAGAGGAAGGAGGTGAGAGTATTAAAGATGGAAGTCCTGCGTGACCACGTTTATAAGGACAAAAAAAAAATAAATTAAAAATATATAAAATTTAAAGTATATCTAATCAAATATGTAAAACTTAAGTTGTATTTAATCAAATGATTCAAACTTGTTTTAATGAAGTAGACCACCCTCAAGCATAATTAATATAAAGAGTTTAACAGATATACAGTTAAAAAGAGAGATAGAGAGGATGGCAAGAAAATAGAAATTCTTTATTCAATAATCAAAATACAAATCACAATCCAATGGCCAATGGCCATTTAAAACTCTAGAAACATAAACGTAATAATTCAAATTCATATTTAAATTCAAATTTTAATCTATCTTAAAATCAACAGATGACCATATCTTGTTTTATTTGATATAAATACTTAAAAATAAAAATAAAATTCTAGATATTAGACCCTATGAAATCAAATCATATTTATTTTTCACAATATCTTCATGGGGATCTGCAATTTTTCTTGTAGAATACGTGCGAGTCTAACTAGTATATTAATTGATATTTGCAATTTTTTCCAGCCAATTAATTTTGTTAAAAGAATGATGAGAAAACCTTCCCTGGCTTGCAATTAGAAAATTTTCTCTAATTTGACTTTTCACTTTCTCTAACCTTTACTTGGTTTTAGTTTTCCTTCTTATATATATATATATATATATATAAGAAAAAAATTGTAAATACATGGATGTAGAGATCAAGGTACAAGATTATAAGTAAATAATATTTTTTAAGAAAATTGTAGCTAGTTGGGAATAATAACATTTAAATTAGACAAGAACAAATTTTGTAAAAGTAATTGACGGAACTAATTGCAAAAATTAGATGATTAGGGGAACTGATTATATGATTTAAGACAAAAGGTATCAAGCACTGTTTTCTAAACAAAATCAGAAATGTCAGTTGCTTCTATGATGCACAACGATATTCTTTTGAAAATATGTGGATTAAACTCAATTTAATGAAAATGTTAGTTTTAGTGCGTACATATATATTTTTATCATAAATATATGAATATTTCTTTTATTTTGCAGTAATATTGTGCGAATAAATTTGAGCTTCTGCACAAAAAATAATTACAAAAAAGAAAGATTTAATTTGTGTTCAACCTCTCTCAGTGTCTTCACTATATATTCATGTTTTTTATTTACGACAGGAACACGAAATAGAGGAGGCTAACAAACAGCTCAAGCACAAGGTATATGCCTTTTTAATAAATTAAAAAATAATAATGACAATGATTAGGGAAAATATGGTAATTTGATTCCTAATTACATTAATTTCAATTGCCAAAATTTCAGCTTCAAGAAATATATGAACGTAGCCAAACCGTGGAAGATCTTGAAGTCCAAGGATCAGGGACAAATCACAGCACCTTACAAATATGGTATGCCTGCAGTATCACTTTTTCTCCCTCTTATCATTCTTGGTTTATATATAGCTGCTCTTTTTATATTACAAAAATTTTAAATTTATTGAACAGTTCATTATATTGATGATGGTTCATGATTTTTTTTATCAGATTCTGATGGAATTATAGTCAAAGTTGTAAGAATTAGATATATTAATTTTAAATTTTATATAATATTAAAAATATGTATATTTTGACTAATTAATATAAAACATAGGTTTACAATAATAATTCTTAAGTTACACATAAATAATGAGAGACGCGACACTTATTTTCATGAAATATATTAGAGCTCGGGAAATTCTTACATAGACCATGGTGCATCACGTCATCTATACTCCACCTTATAACACTACTATAAAATAAGTTTACAGGAGCGCTTTTTTTTTTTACTTTAGGGAGCACTTTTGAAGCGCTCTCATATCGAGCGCTCCGAAATGTATAGGAGCGCTTAAAAAAGCGCTCCTATATATACGTTATACGGGAGCGCTTTTCGACAAGCGCTCCCGTAAGGGAGCACATACGGGAGCGCTCTTTACAAGAGCGCTCCCGTATGCAACCATACCGGAGCGCTTTTATAAAGAGCGCTCCCGTATGAACTACATAGGAGCGCTCTCTGGAAGAGCGCTCCCGTATGTTACTTTACAGGAGCGCTCTTCAAATGAGCGCTCCCATATATTACTTTAATTTTTTTTTAAATCAGATTTTTTGAAATTTCTCCTTTTACGTCTCTTTAACAATGGCAAATCATAATATCAAAAATTAATTTAAAAATAATATCAACATAAAAATGTATATACAAGAAAAGAATTTGAAACTGATACAACAATTTCAATTTCCTAACTAACCTAGTTTAATTTCTAACAAGCCTAACAAATAAAACTATTGTTATTTTTCTAACATTGAAATCTAATTTCCTATCACAAACAGCCAATAATATATTTTGACAACTCTTCAACTAAATCTTCTATTTGCTCCATGGTAAAATGCGAACATCTTACTCCAACAAAATACTACACAAGATATGAAAGCAATATATAAGTAATTAACATTATATCAACTTAATTTCAAAACTTTTGACTTACATTTTCAGGAATGATCAACTCTTGTTGTGTGATTACTTCTCTCATAAACTTTATAACATAGTATCCACACTCCCAACCTTGTAATTGTGTAGGTACCTACCTATAAAACAATAAAAGATGTCATTATCAAAATATGGTAGAAATAAATTCTAACTTAATTTAAAATATTTCAGCAATGAAGTTATATATATGAATCATTTCATCAAGACGGCCAATATCATATGTCCCACTATCACGATCAAATGTGGAGTAGCTCGCACTATCCCTCCAATCATTTGCATTATTCCTTGTCTCCCCATGCATGGTCTAACAAGTATAAGTTGGATCAATTCCATTACAGATTAAATGATCTTTCAATTCTATTGGCTTTACTCTTTTTCCATAGCAACATTTCAAACAAGGACATATGACTTCAGGGGAGTCTTGATCACAACAAAATGCAAATTCAATGAATTAATCTACACCATCCCAATATTCTCTAGATAGTCGATTAGCCGACATCCACTTATGATCCATATCACTAATATGATTATTAAAATTCAATAAACAAAAGACTTAGATTTCTATAAAAAAAATTCAACAACATCTTCCTTAAAAGAAGAACCTCTCAAATGATGAAACAATCAAATTCCACAACACAATACATTTAAACTAAAAAAATCAATTCATCCAAATAAAAATTTAGTAGCATAATGCATCTAAATTCTGTCAATCAATTGTAATTTAATTAATAACAATAATCTCCTTTAAAAGTATATTTCATAAATAAAATAAAAATGTTCAAGTAGTTTCCTCAACTTTAATCTAATTATCAACTACAAATACTCCATAATTCTAATATAAATAACTCCAATTCATATATTATCTATAATATTGATTATTAAAAAATATATATGAAATTTATTCTCAAATATATATAAATATATCAATATATTACATTATAAATTAATTATTAAAAAAATACCTTCACAGTGTAGTCTTCATGGCAATAGTAGAGGTCTTTGCAGCGTTGCTTCCTCGGCTGTACAACAATGACACACGGCTGCAACGGAGGTCTTCACGGCGTCGCTTCCTCCGGTGTATAGCAGCGTCACAGATCTGGAACAGCAATGCAGATTTGGAATAGTGATGCGGGAGATGGCAGTGACGGCGACGGCAGCGCAAAAACAGAGACAGATGGTGCGACATGACACAGAAATGAACGAACAGCGATGAACACTGATTTGGAACAACAAACAGCAGTGGACGACGATCTGGAACAGTGAACAGTGGCGAACGACGATCTGGAACAACGAACAGCGGCGGATGACGATCTGGAACAGCGAACAGCGATGGAAGATAGAATGATACAGCGACGATCTGGAACTCATTGGGAATGCACAACCTCAGCAAATGAGAGAGAGGTTTGAAAGAAACTCATGAATAGGGAAAAAAAACTGACGGGAGGCAGAGATATAAAAGACCACCTCTTCCGGAGCGCTCGTCAAGATCAACTCTTTTGGAGCGCTCATTAAAAGAGCGCTCCGAAGATGAGCTCTTTCAGAGCGCTCATTCTAAGAGCGCTCCGGAAGAGGTGGTCTTCCGAAGCGCTCATCAAAGAGCGCTCCGGAAGATAGTCTTTCGGAGCACTTAACTACGAGCGCTCCCGAAGGTCTTTTTAAATTTTTTACAATATTTTATTTATATTAATTAGGAGCGTTATCTTATTGAGAAGCCCTAACATACAGGAGCGCTTATTTAAAAAAGCGCTCCGGTAAATTCCGCATTCACATTTTAGAGCGCTTTTTAAAGAAGCGCTCCTAAATACCCGCTCCTAAAGATATATTCTGTAGTAGTGTAAGAACATATATAATTTAGATTGCAATATAAATTAATTCTGCTATTGATGATGGTAGAGAGAGAAACTACAAGAAATTAAAAAAGCATTCTATTTCACCAAAAAAATCATTAAAAATAATAAAACACAAGGTTTTATTGGATGGAGCATACATGACATGATGCATCATGCCCATGTAAGAATTTCTCATTGAAGCTCCCTTTTTTGGCTAGATTATTAATTGGAGCCCCTCATTGTTTAAATTGGAAAAACAATTATTAAGAGTCATTTTATAATTTCAGTACAAACTATCTTATCATGTCTAGCTCAAATAATCGAGTAGTTATAAATATATTTAAATAAAAAAGCAATGGCATAAGTCTCCTCATCACAGAGTAGAGGACTTCAATATTAAGGGTATAATTTTAACTTGTATGCATAATATATAACTAAATATCATCTAGCTAGAAGTCCCAAGTCCCATGCATGGTTCAGAACTTAATTTTTTTTTCTTTTTGGTCTGAGAACTTAGTCTTGATATAGTGTGTGCGTGTACATATATATAAATATATTAATGAATAATGTGTTAAACAGGGATGGGCAGAAGGAAGGAAGTTCAAAAGGAAAAGCGATTGACACGAGGACACAGGGCGGCCAGATCATTCATGACCACAACCACAATCACAACAATGGATGGCTGATTTGAATTTGAAACTTGATAAACTCAAGTTTGGAGTTGCTCTTAAATTAATACATATCTACATATACATACATACAGACATACATACATACATACATATATATATATATATATATATTCTTCAACTATATATAATTTGCTCCTTAATTTAGAAGCATGTATACTTGTGAAATGTCCATAAGCGACACACAATTAGGGTTCTGTGGTTATGATACTATTATATATAGCTGCATGAGTTTTAAACAATCAATAAACCAGTGCATGCATGCTACATGGTATTTGTGTAACTACATGAGTGTGTGCCTCTTAAGGCAGAAACAAAACCAATGAAGCATCATCTTAACTTTTTTGGAATAACGATGATTGGAGATAAATTTTATTCTACTCTCTATTTATTTTGTTAATTTATGGATATCATAAACGTGTTGAACGTCTTATTTTGTTATACATTTTGTATGAGATTGAAGCAGCTAGACAAATCTTTAAGGAAATAGTAAATGTAAATAAAAAAAATTGGATTCCTTGTATTTATGAAATTAAATATTTATAAGAGATAAAACAATTAATACATGCAAAAAATAGCATGAATATAAATGAATCAATATGATTGCTTAAGTAATTCAAAACTGTGTAAATGCAAAGAATTTTTTTTTTTTTTTTGGAGAAATACTTCGATATGGGGTTTGAGAATACTTAAATCTAACCTGATAGTATTAATTATCAGTGTTGGCGTGAAATTGGTAAAGAACCTCATGCGCACTAGGCATACCAGAGGAGTGTGTCTTTAATCAAGATGTTGCGGATCCCAAGCTCATTTATCTCTTTCAAATCACCAAGACTAAACGTCTAAACCGAGGAGCAAGGCTTAGATCACTGGAGAAATTAAGTATGTTAAAGGAAATGTGAACAGGACAATCTCGAGTACAGTGAACATGCATAAATGTCCTGAGAGCTATGTCTAATCGTAAGTCCAAAGTCACAATGGGGTGATGCTCTGTATGTTGAGAGGAAGTTGATTGCCTGAAGTGTTTTGGTTGGTTGGCCTTCATTCCCTTTCACTGCTCTTTCACTACCTAAAAGGATAGTAGTTGACATAAATTGAAGGATCTATCTTGGATGCTCATCAAGATGATATAGATGATCTAGATTTAAAAAATTAATTTAATATTTTATTTATATTTTTAAAAATAAAAATTATAAAAAAAATTTAATAAATCTTTTCATGACTAATCTAGTTTATATTTAATTTAAAAAATCCAATTTAATATTAAAATTTTCATATATTTTTATATATTGATTATCCAAATATGTTCTGTACAATTCAAATTTAAAATCTTTAACTTTTAATTTTTTTAAAAAATATTTTTTTAAAGTTCTAGTTAAAAGATTATATATTTTATTTTTAAATATTGTATTTATCAAAATAAAAAATAAAAACTTTAAATTTGGATCTTGTAGAAAAAAATTTAATATTAAATCTAGATTATTTAGAGTACATGTAGATTATCAATTTATAAAAATTATAATATTAAATTGAATCACTCAAATTAAATGAGTACTGTCCAGATTGATCATGAACATATTTATCAAAAAATTTATAAATTTTTATTTTAATAAATATAAAATTAAAATTAAAATTTTCAGATGGCCTACATTTTACGGACCCAAATTTTAATTTCGTAATTGTCCTCGCTCCCTGTAGAAAAATGTTCTGCAAATTTCAGGAATTAATTGTGCTTACTGGGTGTTCTAGAAGAAAGTGGAGGCTGCATGCCGTATCAGTTGAGGGACGCTTCTCTGACTAGCTTAATGGGTTTGGGTGCTTTTCACACGTTCCTTTCTTTGTTTACGCGCCTAATTTATAAGGGCCCAAAAATATTCAAGGCCGAATAATTGCCTCCCGCGTGCAATACTTCGATGGTGAATTCTGAACTTGCCTTTTCCTTTACTCAAACTTTTGTATAATTTGGCCACAAGGCCAGAATTTGGGATATTTTTACTTGAATGATTAATGTTGTCGTGCTTCCCACATAGTCGGGTGGTATTTCATTAAATACTTGTCTTTGCTCTTCTATGTGGTTGCAAGTTAGTATATGCATTAGCCTTGACACGACAACATTTTTGTTATCTAGGAACAATTCAAAAGTATTGTTATAGGCTTGAAAAATGTTTCCTAAGGTTATAGACAACAGTTTTCAAGTGTTTTTAACTTGAGTGTTGCTTATTACTTTAGGCAACAATTTTCTTATTTTTGACTACAGCGTTTGTAAAACTGTTGCCTAAAACTATGAGAATAGGCAACAATTTTTGAGAGACCTAAAATTGTTGCCTAAAACTATGAGAATAGGGAACAGTTTTTTAGAGACCTATTACAACACTTTTCAAATGTTGCTTATCACATAAAATAGGCAACATTTAAGAATTGTTGCGAAATAGTTAAATAGCTAAAATTTAATATTTCCTTTCTCCCTCTAGATTCAAACCCAGAACCTATTGAAAGAAATAGGTGTCTCCAACCACTCTTCTAACTTGACTTTTGATATTATAATGCAAAATATAATATATATATATATATACACACACACACACTTGTTAAATTAATTTTTTAATTTATCCATATAATGAATTGAAAAATTAAGAGAATAAATAAATAAATTTTTTGAAAAAATTATAAAAATAAATTAAAAATAAACTTTTATGTTTAGAAAAACAACAAGTAACAGTTTTTAAATGTTGCCATAAAGAGAAACTATAGGCAACATTTATATTTTTGTTGTCTATTTGAATAGGGAACATTTTTAAAATGTTGCCATAAAAGATCCTTTATAGGCAACAATTTTTGTGTTACCTATTCAAAAAAATTATTGTAACACTTGAAAATTGTTGCTTATTCTATGTTAGAAAACAGTTTTCAAACGTTGCCAAATCTATGTTGCTTAAAATATGGGAACAGTAGCAACATACAAAAAATGTTGCTAATGTCCATATTAGGCAACACTTTTAAAATTATTGTAAATAAAACTGTTGCCTAAAGCAAAAATTATTGTAGTGTGAGATCTTTGTGCATCTTAAATGGTCCTTCCAAGTTCAAGGACCATTTACCCCACTCTTGGTCTTTGGTACTTGGGGCAGTATGATTTTCAGGATCAGCTCCCCTTCTTATAAACTCTTTGGTCTTACTTCTTCTTCTTTTTTTTATGTAAGCCCATGCCATCTTGCTTTTATGTGCCACCCGATGGTTGTATGCTTGAAAGTATAGTTTGTCCACATCTTCCAACTCTTGGATCATAACTGCTCTGTACTCTATTAGAGTTAATTCATTTTGACATGCCACTCTTAGGGATGGCACTACCAACTCTATTAGTAGTAGCATGATAAGACACATTATTTACACACTTTATCTATTTATTTAAGATCTATTTTATATGTTATATTTCCCACTTTAGTACGTTTGTGGTCTTAATTGTGATAAAATTGCCTAAAGGACAAAGTTGTACACTAGAGGCATTTTAGTCTAAAAATATAATTTTTATAAAAATTTGGGTTAATATTAGATTTAATGTGTTTTATACCCAAGAGAATGAATGTGAAATTAGGTTTCAAAAATTCAATTTAGTTTGGAAGATATTAATTACATATTTTTGTTGACTTTGTTGACCTAATTAGGATTTTTGTGCATGGCTTGTTTTGCATATGTGACAGCCCTAATTTTTACTCCATTATTTTTCTCCTATCTAAATAATTAATTATATGTGCCAAGATGTGAATTATTATGTCACACACATTTATTTAATTAAATTTCATTTATTATGTGACATAGATGACACATGTGCACTTGAACTTGTATTAATTGATCAAGGAAATGCAAGAGGACTTGGGAGACCATATGTGGCATGAGGAAATGCTAAATGGTTAGGGTAGATCCAAATTCCTAAGTACAAAGCATGGAATTATTTCTATTAATATAAGAATTATCACCTAACCAATGAAAAAGTGCCACCTAAGGGCATGTGCGCAAAATGTGAAGCTCTCTAGCCTTTTTAATTTCATTTTAGAATTAATTTTCATAGGCAATCTGATCTCAACCTATTTTTCATGTCCCTCCCCTCATAATTTCAGATTAAAAAATTCATTCAATCAATATATTCATTTCATATTTTATTTTCTGTCTCTAGTTCTTAAGGTTCTTCACTTTCTCCTCTTCTCTCTAGAATTTTCCCACTCCATCTCCACATTCAACCATTAGATCTTCATAAAACCACCACCATTCTTCTCCTCTAATCATTCTCTATCAATTCCTACCATTTGATCTTCTATCCAGAGCCTCAATCATCTCTACTTGAAGTCATAAAGCATTTTGGTCAAAGCAAGAACTTGAGGAAGACTTCAATTGAGCTTGAAGGCTAAGGTTCCCTTAATGCTTAGAAGAGGATGAAGACTTGAAGAACCATTTTGATCTTTAATTTATGTAACATTTTCCTTTCTCTTAGTCTTTTTCCATTCACTTAGCATTGTAAGACCATAGTCTTGAATTATGATATAATTGGCTTCCAACCATTGTCTTAAGTTCATCTATTAATATGGAGATTGATTTATTGATTGATTGGTTTGGATATGTAATTTGCATATTTTGGCCATTGATGAGATTTGCATAATCTTGTGTTTTCATTGATGTTTGTACCTTCTATATGCCTTATCATAGTCTTAAGAGCTGTGAGTTAGGTTTACTTGTGGTCAATGATATAGTCTTAGGGATCACATGTGTAACTCTCCAATAATGCCCACTAGATATTACCCAAATTACCATACCAACTTAAACTCAATATTTGCTTAATGAGATAACAAATATTTTAAAAGGGTTTAGGATCACAAAACTTTTTAAAGCCATTTGAAATAGTTCATATACGACGTAATGCATAACGGAAGCTAATAAGCTCGATAATTGCCACTCGGTATAAGAAATAAAGCAAAACCAATAATTTCAAAAACGGGACTGTGCGTCATGGCATGTGGTACAAAGCCACGGGCTCCTTTCCTATGTCATGCGCTGTGGCATGTCACTATGCGTTATAGTGCATATGATAGTTTCTACTGTCATAATGCTTTACAAAATGTGAACTTCCAACATGCGCCTCTTCCACACACAATGTCCAATCGAAATGATTCAAACACCTACATGATGCTTATTATATAAGCTTTCTAATGAGATAAGTTTGGACACGATTTAATAGTTTAATTTTATATTGGACACTCGGGGTGTAAAAAGTTACTTTTTTGAACATCAAAGCACCCAAAGTGTTCAAATTTCACATTTTGTCCAATTTCATATTGGACACTTAGGGTGCAAAAAGTTATTTTTTTGAAAATCAAAGCACCCAAAGTGTTCAAATTTCATTTTTTGTCCCATTAAAC